GGCGCAGCCACCCAGAGCAGGCTGGTCTAGCGGGCGTTGGAGCCGTGGGAATGGCCCCGAAGTGGGATGACAAAAAGGCCGAGAGCAGATTAAGAGCGTGGTTGGGAAGAAACAGGTATCTTGGAGTGCTAAGATGGACCCAGGAAGGTGCCCAGGCCAAGCCTAAGGTTGGGGCTGCTTGCTCACTGGCCATGCGACCTTGGGCCAGTCACTCGTCCTCTCTGCACCTCCCTCCTGCCTAGAACAGGATGCTGACGCCGGTCCTGCCACTGTCATGGCCCTGTGGGGTGTTCAGACGTCCCGTGGGTAAGGGAAAGGGCTTTTTCAAATTCAACAATGATCTGAAGGGGCTTTAGACTTAGGTGACATGGCTTATTGAGTAAAAGAATTAACTCCTTTTAGGACAATAAAGATGCTCCTTCCATTTGGGTCTAGTCTTGGGGCTGGTCGGGGCAAGTGCCAGCTGCTAAGAGCCAAGGGATGGGCTTGTGGTGCTGCTGAAGGTAATGCTCAAGGCAGATGGATACAAAGTTGAAATCTATGTATCCCCACAGTGCAACTCTGAGGGCTTCTCAGTGCAGTTTCCAGTCGACACTGTCTGCGCTGCTTCGTGGCTCTTTTCAGAGCGGAAGGCAGCCAAGACGCAGGCCTGTGGAATTAGGTGGACCCGGCCCAAAGCACCCCCCCCACAGGTCTACAGGGACTAACCCAGAGCCATTCCCTGACCTCTGAGGGCGGCTGAGTCAACCCTGGCCTTTGGGCGTGGAGTCAGAGCCAAGGACGACAGCAGGTCCTCAACATCATCGTGTGGTTCAACACTGAGGATTTACTATATACATAAAAATGAAATTAAAATACACATATTTTCTACGTAAGAAATTTATTTGATTAAATGACAATACGTGAAGATATTTTAAATACTAAGGCTCTATTCAGACAAAATGTAAATTTATTATAAAGTAAATGTTATCAATGTCAATGGCAGCTAAAAACAGTTTCCTATCAATAATGTGACTGTATAAAGCATTCATAAAATCTTCATGTGCTTTAAAACCAGGTTGCAAGTGTAACACAAGAACCTGTCAATAGTACTTAAGTGCAGGTTTCTTAAGTGACACTTCCAATCTGTCATTCTACACAAGACGTCTGGGGGTCTGTGACAATCAAGTCATGGCCACCCTCAGTGGGGACACGTCGTCCCACACGCAGAACTGAAGCCGTGGTTACGCCACAACCTCAGGCTCCCTATCCTTTCAAATCCTTCGGAATCTGAATTGAGTAGGTGGGTATTTCTAGTCCCTCCAGTTAAGGATTATTAGAAAAAGAGGTTGGCAAACCAGGGTTGGAGAGTGGAGGGGAAACTGAGGCATGACAAGGTCAGGGGTTTCTACAGAGCAGCTTTAGAAATGACCAAAGAAATGATTAAAAAAAACACGACCACAGTAACAGTGACTCCTCAGAGCTGCAGCCTGGGGTCTGCAGGGAGGTGGGGACCAGGACCCTGAAGGTCGGAGCTGACCACCATGCCGGAGTTCCCGGCTGGGTCACCACCCACACGAGCACGAAAATCTTCACTGGAGGGCGAAGTCATCACCTGGGTGCACCAGGGACAGGGCAGAGTGTGTAGGTTCCATCAACTTTCCCCAACGGTTTTTCCAGCATCCAAGTGACTGTTTTGGGGCCAAGATAGGGCCTGGGATGCAGGAATCAGCAGCTGCCAGGTATAAAACCAGAAAAGCTGCGGATGTGTGGATGGAGGAAGAAGGGGTGTCTCCTTCTGTGCACACTGCTGGCAGCAGAGCACGAACGTGTCCAGTGACTCAGGTGGAACGGAACCCTAGGCAGGTACGGAAAGATCCCAGGAAGCAGAGGATGCTAATGACACCACAATCATAGAGCACCCATTATTACTAATTTAAGAGAGATAAACATCACCGAGGATCTCTCTCTAGTGCCTGTGCTATTCTTCTACAAATATAAATATTTATGAGGACTTTCAAAACATTACAAGTGATACACACATTCTGGTATAAATGTTACACTCCGGATTCATAGCACAGACTTGATGTCACCGTTAAACATAGGTTTTGGGGTACACACAGAATAATTTTTGCAGACCATTTTCTGAACCTTGGTCACACAGCTAAGTGACCACCAGAAACACAGGAAGCATCTTATTGGTGGTTTTAGGCAGCAAGCATTTTTTTGTCTGTGTATTTACGCCTTTTACAAAGATACACTTGCTCACTTGTAGAAACGAATTTAAAGTCATCCAGGGGAGACCTTCCACTCAGCACTCCTTTCTGTTTCCTCGCTGCTGCTCCGCTCTCAGGCCTGCGTGGGAGGGCTCCTCAGGGCTGCGGCCCCTTCTCCGAGGCTCACGGTCTTCCTCAGAGGGCTGTGCTTACGAACAGTTTCATGTTTCTCACTCGGGCTAAGTGGCTCTTTGAAGATTCCTAATCTTGGGATCACAGTCTTATCAATGGCGCCGAATCATGAGCGAGCACGCGCACACACACGCATTTTAATAAAACAGTAAATGACTTCGTATCACCCCATGTTACCAGTGTGCTTTTAAAAATGTTTGTTCCCAGCACTACAGAAAATAACCTCCCAGCACACCCAGGCTGGTCACTGGAGATGACCCTTTCCTGTCTGAGGTGACAACACGGGACACACCTGAAGGTGGTGGGGCAAGGAAAACCCCAAGGTTCTGAGTGCCCACAGGACACGAAAGCGCGGCCTCGGCGGGGTCTAAGCTGACCGCCTACTTAGGGACGGGTGTCCCATCTAATGGCTCTACAGACGGCTAATTACTCTGATGCAGGTGCAGGCTGGCGTGTCCCCGGCCTCGCGCCACCAGGACAGGAGAGCAGGACCAGCGCGGTCGCTTAGAGGGATACACGTGCCCTCAGGGGCAGAAGCGATAGCTCGGCCTAACGTCTCTTCACACCTGAAAGCCAAGGCTCGGCCCCTCGCCCGCTGCATTTCCCTCCTTCCCAAGGCAGCGTGCTGAAGGGCGCTACAGGGGCAAAGGGGAACCAGCCTCTCCCGGGACGTGGCTACGCCGGCATCTGCTAAAGGTGCTGGGACCGGATTCCCACCTGTGGAGATTCTCAGGGAGGGACCGAGCACGTAAACTCACTCAAGTGAAATTACTAAAATAATTAGCTTTCATAAAAAAAGGATCTAGGAAATGTCAGAGTAGCTCGTTTACCTTCTCTAACAGATACTACTCCTTGGCAAGATGCTTCTTTTGGCTCGGCTCCCCTGAAAATATTTTCATTTTCATTCTTAGCCAGTTAACATCACAGGGACTGACCCGGAGCTGGTTCCGTGGACGGAAAACCAGCACCGAGGGGGCTGCTGCTGCACAGCTGGTCGGCGGGCTTCGCCTCGCTCAGTGCCACAGCCACACGGCCCAGGCCGGCCGGCCACTCCGGCCCGCTTCTCATTTCCCAGCAGCCACGCGCCACCGTGTCCTAAAACATGGTTCCGGCGGAGAGGAGAGTGCAGTGAAGGCCCTCACAGCGTTACCGAGGCCGGGCGGCCGCGTCCACCCTCGCAGCTCAGGCACTGGGTGCCCGTCACACGGTAAAGAGGCATCTATGGCTGGAGGAACAATCTGAAACTTCAGAAGCCTGACCACAGGATGGAGCTGCAGTCAGTCACCTCATTCTGTGCCCTGCTTGGCCCCCTGACT